AATATTCTTCAAATAAAAGATACTTATAATATTATTTTCTATAATTTTTATTTTTTACAAAATTTTCCTTAAATGGCCCGTATTTGAGAAATTTTAAAAATTGTAAAAAAATCGAATTTTTAAAATAATTTGTCAGATAAAAGTTGTTTGTAATATAATTCTAATTGTTATTATCTTATACATAATTTCTCTAAAATGGACCGTATTCGAGAAATTTGAGAAAAAGTGTAAATTTAGAATTTTGAAGAAAACTCGAAAACGGATAAAGAAAAAAAAATATATTTTAAACTTAAGTTTTATTCGCCTGAGGTGAAGTGATTAGATTTTGGGTACTTTATAGGAGGTCGTTTTTATATTTTATGGAATATATGTTATTTGTGCTTGGAGAAGAAAATTCTTCAAATAAAAGTTACTTCCTATATTATTCTCTATAATTTTTGTCCTATACAAAAATTTCCTTCCGTTCTAGAAATTTTACAAAATGTAAAAAATTCGAATTTTTAAGAAAATTGTTTAAATAAAAGTTGTTTGTGATATAATTCTCTATAATTATTATTTCATATATAATTTCTCTAAAATGGAAAAATTGGAGGAAAAGTGTAAAATTTTAATTTTTCAATGATTTTGTTTTCAATGAATGTAATATAGAAAAATGTTTCGAGTTAGATGTATGTGGAAAATGTATATATTTTGTCCTCTAAACATCTACAGAGGTGCTGCAATAGATTGTACAAAATAACAGGAAAAAGGAAAAATTTGGTTCAGACTATAAGCGGTACATTTGTTAACCCGTCCCTGCACCTATTGTATCACCAGGTTGCTTTATCAATGACCTAAAGCCTATAATGACATGCAAAGTTAAAAGTAAAGGTAAAATTATGTGAGGATCACGATGTCACCACAATATCGGGAATTTAAGAGAAATTTAAAAGCAGCTTGAGTTTCTATCCACATCGAACATCAAAATAAACGTAGGAACAGTGGCTGAGTTGGTGATAATCAAAATGCAACAAGCGGATCCAAATGATTGTTGTAAAGAGACGATCCCTTTGTAAATATACAACAGTTACACATCTAAACAACATTTGAGTAATGGATGACGTACACCCCGGTAACTTTCGAGCAAACCGTTGCGTGATAGGTGAAATTCAGGGGCGTTCCGCGGCAATTTTTTTTCTAATCAATATTCTACGTTTTACTTCTAATTCCATGCCAGGCTAACAATATGAATACGAATGTGTGCACTCAGCACTGTGCAGAAAGTTCTTCGAGCGCTAATTGAAGGCACACTTACACACTTGGATAAGTGCAGGATATTATTAGAACTGTCGTTATATTTCGCAATTAAGGATTACTTGCTGGTTAATAAGCAATTGAAGGTTAAACTTATAATTTTAAAATAATAGATTGTCATCAAAAACATACGAGGTACCTACTTTTCAATCCTGGACACGCGGCAAATAAAAATTCGAGTTAATAAGATTTCTACGTAGTTTTAACAAAGGATAAACAAAGGATAAATCGATAAACTTGGCTTCACAGAACACCTACTTTCTGGCATGGAACAAACATCTCATTCGCATCTAATTTCAAATGCAGATGTAAAAAATGTAATCTGGACAGCTACATCTCAGGTAAACAAACGCAGATGCAGTAGATGTGTCCGATATGGATAAACAAACGCTTAAGATGTAAAAAATGCATCTGATGTGGATATTTATGCGGCGTTTGAATATTTTATCAGAGACCTAATTCCGGAAGTTACTGAATTCCGCTACATTATAGTAAATAAATGTATTCCGCCACTTCGCCTCTACCAGTGCCAAAATTCCGCTACCGTAGCGGAATTCCGCCCGCTCTTGTTACATCTACACCCTAATAGCACTGAATGCTTGTTCCATCTACTTCCTAACCACTGCACAAGCGAGCGAAACGAGCGCGCCCGGCCGACGCACGTTTCCAAATTCGCACGAATTTCGAAACGTCGGCCGGGCGCGTTTTTTTTTTTCATCTACACCATAAGAGCACACTACGCTCGTTGCACTCACCTCCTAACTACTACAGAAGACAAAGTGATATTCTAGTAGCCCATTCCATGCGCATGCCAGTCCGTGAATATACAACAAGAAGACGAAGCAAAGACTTCTCGTAGGGTGCCGGCTTAGCCGTCACCAGAAAATACCAACCCATACCTGGCTACACCGACCGGCATGGACTCCAACGGCCTGGACACAGCTCAAATTAAAATGAAAAGTCTCATATAACCGATAATCTCGTATTATCATCTGCGCATGCGTAAGCACTGAATGTTTTAGATGTAAAAAGGGTGTGTTCGCTTCACTTGCTCTCTCCTGTACTTGTCAGTACGCACGTGGGATGAACAGATGGAAAAAGAGCGCCCGAATTTCGAAACGTTGGGCGGACGCACTTGCTTCGCTCGCTTTATTTTGTAATGGTTAGGAAGTAAATGGGAAGAGCGTTCCGTGCTCTTATGGTGTAGGTGTAAAAAGGCCGCGCCCGGCCGACGTTTTGAAATTCGCGCGAATTTAAAAACGTCGGCCGGGAGCGCTCGCTTCGCTCGCTTGCTCCTTTAGTGGTTAGCAGGTGGGTGGGTGATACAAGCGAAGTGTACTCTTACGGTGTAGGTGTAAAAAGGGCATTTGCGAATTTCGAAACATGAACCAAACACGATCGCTTCTAATGTAGTTAGGACATGGAAGGACGAGCGTGCTTCTTTGATGCACGTGTGTCAAGGAACTTTTTAATTTTTTTGAATTCCGATAGGTTTACAAAAAGTGTTTTGTTGTTTTGTATAAAAAAATGTATAAAATAAATCAAATTGTCATTATGTTAAAAATATACCACACGCACCATTATTCCAAAATAACGCAAGGATGTATTTGAGGTAATAAAGTTAGCACAATGCGGTATTAACGGATTAATTTTAAATTTAATGACGTACGAAAAATTATTTAAAAAATGTATTCTTGCGTTATTTTGGAGTAATGGTCAACCCAGTATATTTCATTTAATAAAATTCCAAAATTGTTTTGCAAACCTATCAGGAATATAAATGTTAGTATGTTACGTTACTTTTTGTACAGTCTGTATATAAATTTCGACTTATACCTAACATAATGCTGCCAGTGGGAACTGACAGTTTAGATATGATATGGCAACCTGTGGGCTTGTTGTCATTGACAGGGTCAATGATGCATATATAGTCATATAGATTGCTGAAAGCGTGTCGTTTGCGAGCGGCCATATTGCCTGGCAAGTGTCCATTAATTTGTATCGGTTTAGCAAAAATGTGTTTTAAAACCAATTTTCAGCCATTGAATATGTTAAAAAATATAATTTCCTACATTTTTACTTCAAGGCATAAGCTTATGTTTATTTTGAAAAACATGGATGATCAATCTATATAACTGTCTATAGCATTGACCAGGCCCAGTGTTGCTATCATTAACTTTGATTTTCTCTTACTATACGGAGAATGGTCGCACTGCGCAGCTTTCTGAGTGCCTTTTAAAAGGAGATAGAAAACTCCGCCATTTTGATGCCTTATTACGTGTTGCCTACATCTTGGCGCAATATTTTTATTAGATGCGTTTTAATCATCCGCTTCTGCTTCGGAATTGTCGGTTTTCTTTTCAGTAAATATTATTTTTGGAGTCACTGTTTATTGCCAAAGAATCAGTTAGTTCACTCGGACCAGTTGAAAGTTCCAAAATAACATCCATTCCAGGGATACAAATTCAGGATGCGCAGAAGACTGCTGTTTTATTATAGGCGGTTGTCATATATTGTATTATCCGAGTTGCGTCGTGTATAAACTGGAACATTGAGATCAAAAGTGCCGACGCAGAGTGAGCGAACTGATTCTTTAGCTATAAACTGTGGTAAAGGCATCAAAATGGCCGCGCCCTATGTTGGGCGTGTCGGACCTCTTTCTTGCACCGTATAGTAGTCAAAGTATGTGGTTGCTATATTAAAACCTGTCAGTGGCCTGTCATTTCAAACGGGCAGCCATTTTGTATGGAATACCTAATACAAAGTAATAATAAAATTATGTTTAAGGGTTATCGAAAAGCTCTTTATCTATTACTTTATAGATGATGTAATTATTATATACTACAACTATCAAAATGGTTAAATAAGTCATCAGATGTGACTGGAAATAAATTAAAGAAGAGCTTTAAATAGGGTAATTTTTTATATTTCTTTTTCGCTGATTTTAATTACACTTGGCAACTCCGCGTATATTTGAATTGACATAGCATGACAGATATAATTCTTAAATTCTAATGAATAAGTTTACATAAATGATCATTTAATGATCCTCATAAGCCTTTATTATGTAATTAAAAAAAAAACGTTAATTTATGGGGTTTCCGGTGGTATATTTGAAAAATACTCTTCTTCCTAAAGCCTAAAATTTAAGTTTTGTAAAAAAAATTGTATTTTTACGAAAAGGGCGTCTTCGCAATAATTACCATAATGGTGAAGAATAAAGTTATTTAAAAAAATGAAATGTTCTAACTTTTTTGGCTTGCCATGTATATAAATCAATTAGAATAAATAATAAACAAATGGCCTACTAAAGAGACTCTTCACAACGTGGGATAACATGGGTTCCAATGTTTTCTTTATAATGATTTAACGCCCTTTAAGTGGATACTTACTAGAATGCTTGATTTACATCCCAAGACTAATCAAGTGTGTCAGGTAGGGACGAGAACCAAAAATAAGGGCATTAAAATATTATATTTATATTTCCTTTTGAATAAAGTTTATCAACTTAATTCTTGCTTTTCTTATCAACAAAGTTGTATAACAGTAAATAATTTATATTTGTAAAATTACAATCGCACCATCTACCGCTGTTTATTCACTTTTTTTGTAAAATTACCCGTTCATAACAATTGTGTCAATGACCATTAGTAAATGAGATAAAAAATTTAAATAAACAAATAAAAGTATTTAATAGAAGTACTCACCACATATATGTTTCACTGTCATAACTTACACAAAAAAGGGCATTAATATAAAATTATAAGATTCTTTCGTTTGGCAAATTCACACTGACATTTAACCCCAAACAAACAGTACTTGTAATGACTTCAGTGACAGATTATCTGCCAAATAAAATAGTTTACCAGTGGCGTTAAACAAAACTCCGTTCAGGGCATAAATTTAAATCTGCCACCAATGAGAAATAAAAGCTTGGATTCAAATTATATAAAACATCTATTTTCCACTTGCATATAATATTATTAAAAGAACAAACGACTTGGCTGTAAGGAAGTTCGTTCTAAATTATATGAGTATAATCGTCCAAATGGATATTACACATGTAGATGTTTAAAGAATTGTCTATTTTTTCTTTTTATAGAAGCATTATTAAATTAAAAATAAGTTTCCATTTATATAAATTATACAATATAGGTAATACACATTTTAAACAATAACTAGCTTCTTATTTGCTTCTAACCAATCAAAAGAATAAATAAAAACAATCAAATCTATATCTTTTATCAATTTAAGTATACTAAATTAAAAAAAAATAAAATTTTTGACAACTCTGGAGTCCATCTTATCGTATTTTTTATTTGATCCAAATTGAGTTCCCTTCTATATTCTACTCGTATAAATCGCTGAGGAAGTTGTGTGTCTAGTACTATGAGTATTGAATATACAAAAAAAAAAAGTTCATCAAATTTCTAGAGGTGTTCGACGCCCAGACAGAGAACGCGCTACGTGTGACTAAGATAGCTATTGTACAGTCTGCTAAACAAGTTATTTTAAATAGTTTTTAATATTTTTAGGTAATTAAATTTTAAAAGTGTGGAATAGTTTAGGGATTAAATTGGTCTGATTGGACTTTCTTAGAACGTTTTTAAAAGCAGCTAAAGATAGTATGTAGAATTGAAAATAATTATTATACCATAAAAGGTGTTTTGGAATTCCTTCAACCTTTTGAAATTGAGTCAGAAAATATAAATTTTATAGGATAGCGGAAAATACCTATAATTTTTTTGTAGGCCTTTGTAAATCGTGGAAATAGTTTATATTTTATTTCTACCTTATTAAGGAAAATGGTACCTATTATTAATAACGGTTGTTTCTGAAACATTACTAAAATTTTCGAAATTTTGTTTTTCTACAAAATAATAAACTATACTATTTAGAAAAAAATGTATTTCTCTTATAATTTTATAAAAAATAACAGGGGAATATTTACATTTCTTGATCTATTAAACAAAACGATAAATTATCTCGACGAATGACACCATGTTCTAGTACGGAAGCTAGCTTTACATTTTTGTTGGTGGTTTCATGGGTTTCATATCAATTTTTTGTAATTGTAGTTTACACGTACATATACCTCTTAACACTTGTTTGCTTTATTAAAAAAGTGTGTTGTTGTGATTTACGTCGAAATAAGTCAAAAACAACTTGAAACCCCATATAAAATCAAAAAGGAGAAACGGAAAAAAATTGAGCCTGTAAATGAACACAACTCAGAAACAAAAATAGCTATCTAATAATAAAAAAATAAAATTTGATTCTTGTGCAGCTTCATCTATATCATTAACTGTTTTTGGTTTTTTAATGGTTTTTCTTGGTGATGAAAATTCCGATATCTCACGGTTATCGATTCTTTTTTTCTCTCCAGAAATGCGGACGACAGTGTTTTTAGATACTCCTGTGGCTGCAGCAACACGATCATTTACATTTTTAAATGGTATTGAAGGTGAATTAAAGTTTCCTTCTCTTCTCATAAAGTCTATAACATTGGCTAATATTTCGCGAGATTGACTGTTAATCACGCGGCCTCTTAATTTTCTATTAAACTCCATACTTAGGTTCTATTAAACTGTAATGAGCAAAAAACACAAACGAAAATAAAAGAAATGTTTTAGCGAAATTTACATCTGACATTTACGTCTGAATGAAATAGTGAAATACTTGATGCGCAGAGTGTACTTTCATTGCGTAAATCCGTCGGGATGCCTGTCAGTAGTGCTTTCTCTGTCTAGCCGTCGAAAGCCTCTAGAAATTTGATGAACTGTATCTACGATTATTATATTTGTGTTAATTCCGCCGTCCTTTAACACTTGTCTTACAGATTGGGCGCTTGCAGACTAATTAGGTATTTTAAAAGTCAAAATTAAAAATCTATATCCTTAATGATTTAAGTTTCCTAAGTATTCCTTTATATGCGTAAATCTAAGTCGATTTAGATCCCAACCACAAACAAATTTGGGACAAGCTGATTTTCTCAGAATAAAAAAAAATCCCACCGAATCCCATGAGGGGAACTGGCCCATTCTGCGACAACATTACATAAATATTGGATTTACTTTAATTAAACACAAATAAATTTAAAATATTTAAGAAAATATAAAGACGACAATTATCCGGAAGACAAAATCCTACAAATCCGTTTTTTAAATAGTAAAATCCGATTAAAAGAAAAAAGTTATGATCATTTAAGTAAAGACTATTTTGGAAAAGGAGAAAATCCTCTATAGTGAACTCCAAATATTCAGAAATAAATCACCGGAGTATGAAAAGTTATTACAGGTTGATGAAAAATTTATATTAAAGTGGTCTGGTAGTGTTAAGAGTTAAAACCTAAATGAGTACAGATTTCTGAAGTATAACCAGGTAATTGCTAGAAAAAACTTATTTAGCAACTTTGAGTTATCGACACTACCACCAACTACTGAAGCAACACAGCTTCACATTAAAAGGGTTTATTTGCAGGTTCAAATGTGGCGTGGAAAACAGTTAATCCCGGAAGACTGGGGTTTGGTAAAAGTAAGGGGTTGTTTGGGAGTTGTTTGGAACCCCAATAAATTTAAAAGAAATAGCTCCAGATTTTATATTAAAATTTTTATTTTGTGGATACAAATTTGGCTGTTCAAAGAGTTGTAGCTGCAAAAAAAATTAATATTAAATGCACCGAAAGTTGCAGTGGAAGTGTAGTATTGACAGTATTGCGAGAATGCAATGGATGTGTCGTTAGCAGAGGAAGACTGTTATAAAACTGTTTTCGCAGTTCACTATTTTAGCATTGGTCATGTATCTTAATTATTTATCGTCAGTATAATTTAATTTTTGCTGAAGTATTCAAAAGAAACATCCTAATAATTGTGGATGTAATTTTACAATTTATAAATATGTGTAAAAATAAAATCTGAGTAAGACTTTTAAGTCAAAAGATAAAAATATAATATAAGGTAATTTTGAACAAATTAACAATTAAAAGATAACAAACAGAGTGACATAACCCAGTGTTGGGAATAGTGAGTGTGAGAAAGCCCCTAAAAAATCATATGTGATCTCCAGAAGCAAGTTAGCTTGTGTGGAACTAAGGAATTATACCACCTTCACTATTCGCATTGAGTACAGTTGAAAACAAGTTAATAAACTAGTTAAAAATTTAAAAAAATTTACAATTTGTAAAATTTTTTGTAAAAAAAATAAATTAAAAAAAAAATTAAAAAAAATTAAATATTCTCTGCAAATAAATTACTATCAACACAATAGTTACAATATACCGTTAAATTGGGCCAGCCCGCGTTTCAAGTGGAGAGAAAGGTAAGCGTCACATTAGACTGAACGGAGAAAGATAGAATTATTACCTCCGAGGAATTACTACTAGAGGGAGTCTTCCCCCCTTCCCCGCGCTAAATTTTGTTAGCAACATCTACTCCCCCCGAGGGGGAAAATACCTCTTCTGTAATTGGCTTATTTAATCAGCGTTGCCAAGTTTGACAGCGCCAATTCTGAGTGTTCTGACCACATACTTTGATTTTCTGACACTTTCTGACACTTGTCAATTTCTTATTTGTATTTTACGGAAAATATTATTATTTATAACGTTGTAAGGGTTGTAAATGTATATTTAAGATTTATTATCTCTAATAATATGGTGAAAACATGCTTTATGTGTAACAGGCCTGTTGAAAATGCTTCTTCAAGATATCATAAGTAAGTACAGACACAACCTAATTATCAGAGGCGGTGCATTAGGCAATCACCTTTAATTTGCAATTAAACTTTCTTATTTTTTTATCGAAAAATTAAAATTAAGAGCAAGTAAACTCCAGCTAAGTTCGTCTTTGATCCGTCTCATAATGATTATAGTAAAGGTTAATTACTTATCAAATCTTTGTAAAGTTTATTGTTATTTTTTTTAGGTTTACTTTTCTTGATATGAGAAAGACATACATGGTTCCAAAATATAGGAATTCAACAAATGACCACCTGAATAACTTTTTATGCTAATGAACATTTTTATTACAGACCTCAGGGGAGGAAAATATTAAAGAAAAATGCAATTTCGACGAAAGAAGTATAATAATCAATCCTGTCACTACTTCTACACTATATTCATCTGCTACTAAAATACTAAAACAGCAAGTAAGTAGAGAAACTTAAGTTTCTTTCAAAAAGAATGTTTAAGGAAAAAGGCTTTGCCATTTTTTTGTTGACAATTTTTTTTAACTAATCTAAAAGACTAACTTTGTGTATTGTTTAAATTTTCATTTTTGTACTTAATTTGTTTTAGGTTTAAACAAAATGAACTTCTAAGATATGCATGAAATATCCCAAAAGAGCTAAGGAAGGTTTTAAAATTCTTAAGAAAACTATTCAAAGCCAAAAACATAAAATAGTCTTCCTGTCCAAAATATAAATAGGTATAAATATTTAGATATTATGAGTGATTTTTTATTCTATAAATAGAACATAATTTGCTTCTAAATCACTACCTAATGAACTATATTATATAGTACAAAACTAAACAAGAATATCACATTATTCATGGTTTTTTTTTAATTTCCTTAAAAAACGTCCCAAAAAAATGTGAATATTTATTATTGGAGTTTACATCGTTATGCTAAAACAATACTAGAACAACTTAAATAATGTGGATTTTGACTATTTTGAGTTATGCAGATCATTATGATCTAAAAAAATGTTTGTCTGGTGCTATAGCCAGTTATAAAAACATTAATTTATTTAAAAACGCAGTTGCAATATACATTTTACTTAGTTTTTAAGTTAAAACCTAGGTATTAGGACATCCTAAAATGACTTTTTTCGTTTGATGTGAAATTAATTA